CCCTCGCACGCGTTCCACAAAGTGCAATGTGTTGTCACCTGGGTGTCCTTGGCGTAAATTTCATCCCAGTCTGCAGTGCCCAGAAAGTCGGGCGTCATTCTGCTCTTGTCGCACGGCGTTTTTACGCCGAACTGATCTCATTGAGCACGCGGTTGCGTCAGGGGGTGAGAGACGGAGAGAAAGAGAGCACGGCGTTTGGAGGAAGGGATGGCGGAGGGGACACAGAGGTCAGCGTCAAGGAGGCGTAAGTGAGCAGTAACGACGCAAACACTGGGCGAAACACCACCCCGAGTTGGGACTTCGCCCCGCTTCACGTCCCTCTACCAGGGCATCTGTGGGAGCATAACACCGCCACAAAACGCCGGTACTCGAGACAACGACCACTGGTCCTGAACGGCTCATGCTTGCAAACATTGCGGTGGTCATATCATTCGAGTAAGGCAAACAACAAGCAACACCCATAGCGCCTCCTTTTTGTGTGTTCCTTGGCCAGCACGCATACACCCTTGTACACTTTCGTTGATCTGTCTCGTGACTCGCGGTTCGGGGCATGTAGAAAAGAGTGCACCGACAGGGCGTTCTTCTGCACGCTCGGTCAATAGTACTTCAACGAGATTGAGTTACGTCCTGGGCGGGGGGGGCGGAGACGCTGCGGCCTGTCACAACGCTTTGATGTCTGGTGGACAAACTTGTGCTGAAAGATACGTGCGGGCAGCAATGGGGTCTGAGGACGACGATATCCTAGGGAGATTCGTACCTACGGTATCAACTTCTCCAGCACGATGGCCGTCCATTGTTTGAAGCAGGTGGTACGCATGAAGGTAGAGACGCGAGAGGAAATATGGTGGAAAGGACAACGCCAGCGCCAGCTAGTGCATGTCGCTTGGGCGGATGGGGGCAAGGGGGCAGACAGCAGTACGACCCCACACAGGGCGATGGTTGTTTCAAAAGAACAAATGACGATTTATTGCGCAGCGTGAAAGTGGGTATACGGATATTGGCGTAGACACGTAGCTGGCGGCAAAATTCGATTTCTCCTCCTCTACATAAGATCAGCACGCGTAAGGCGCGTCGAGTGACGCCAAGACGTACAAACGGCTCTGATCACGGATCGAGGGATGGAGAAGCGAGGTTTCAGCCCCCTCACATCCACATGCCCCACACTCACACTCACCGCATTGGGCATCTGGCACCAAATCTCGGTCTTGAAATTCGAGCCGCTGTCGTAGCCCTCCAGAGAGGAGGGAAAAATGTCCCAGGGCACTCCGCCCGCTTCTAGGAAGTTGTCTGTGTTGTTGCGCGCGCGCCGTCGGGGAGGGGGGGGGGGCACTGATTCGGTTGCTGTTTAGCGTTGGGCGTGACCGATACAGGGACGACAAGACGAACCCCGAAATATCGAAGTCGTCAGACCATTGACCTCGCATCCTTACAACGCCGGGACGGAGCGGTATGCCGAGGTTTCGCCGACCCAGGCTGCATTTCACAAGGGTTAACCTGAAGTGGGGGGGGAGGTAGCTTGCTTGACGTTATCCTACTGTTGATCATATCATCCTCCCTTTCGGAGACGGAGCACCGTTGTTGAGGCCCTACAGCTCTTACCAGCTTTTGGGCGATATGATGCGGACAAGGAGGGTGGGGTCGGAGCGGGCGTGGCTGGAGTGGGGGTGGGGGGGTCCTCTGCAGCTTGCGGTGGTCATTTGGGCATTGACGACGACCCCCATCATCCACGTTTGCACAGGGTGAGTTATCTGTCGAATGTCCTGAGCTTGCAGTTAGGCGGCATTTGACTACGTCTGTTGATGGATGGCGTTGTTGTCATTATCTCTGCATTAAACGTCGTCCCCGGCCTCCAACCAGCACCTCTTCTTCCCTAGTATTCAAACACCAGGGTTTTCGTGGTCAAAAATGCTACCGTAACATTCAAACAACATGTCTAACAAACGGTTTGAATGTTCCGCGATTCGCCACGGCAAAATACGGTAGTACATTGAAATACGAGGCCAGAAAGAGCAGAAGGGACGTAGGGCAGGAAGAGGCCGCAGGAGAGAGCAAAGCTCAGCACGCTGAGCCACAAAACAAAAACCTTCCGCCTATTAAAAATGGAGGATGGGGAATTTGAACCCCCGACATTTCGCATGCGAAGCGAACACTCTACCCCTGAGCTAATCCCCCTTACCGGTCGTTGGAAGGGCAGGCCAGCCGCAGTAACTGACTCAATTCAATATTTTGGTGGTGCTTGTTCTTGGGATAACCCTGACGTTGTCCGTCTGTACAGCCATTTACACACAATGCACGCGTTCGTCTGTTTGGTCGCTTAAACGCGCGTACTCTCGTCGATCTACCTGTTCCGGGTACCAGCTACACCTCCATGTGTTACGTTTCGTTGGTGGCAGGCATAAGATCAACACGAGTTGTAGCCGCCACAGGAGCAACACGCATTGCCCTTCTTTGCGCTTGTGTCACAAAGGTGCAATGCTGTATCTATAACACGACTTCGTCCTCATAAGGCCATTGCCCCCTTCCCGCCCCCGGCCATTGCTACCACTCACTTCACCATACGATTGCACGTGTCTCTGAAAAATCGACTTGTGGGTGAAAAAAAAACAAAATGGAGATACAGCATGCATTGTGTTGGTAACAAAAAAAAGCAATTGACGAAGAAACCTCCACGGCAGGTTGCATCTACATTACCTTCGAACTTGTGCTCTGTCCCGCTCCGGGACGAATCTAGGCCCCCGTACCAGTCCACCAGGAGCGCCCTGTCCGTCATCATCGCAAGGCCCAACACGCCTCGGTACCCCTTGAGACGGTTGCCCATGCCGCACTGCAGGTATGGGCGGAACACCAGGTATCTGCGCACCCCCCAACCCCGACCAACCACGAACAAATAATAATAACGGGACACAACGGAATATCATCCCATCCGATCAACCGAGCGCCATTGCCGACAAGATATGACGTCATCACCAGCGATAGCGGTGGACGACAAACAAAAATCGGAGCGTACATACAGCACGTCATGATTGAGAGCAGGCGGAAAAACCAAGGATAGATAGCACCCGCAAAAATCAGCCGTAACAGCGGCACTGCGGTGATGGGTGTCCAAACAAGCGGCAGAACGTGTTGGAGGCTGCCTACCCACGGGGAAACAAGCTTGCGCGGTGGAGATGGAAAACCGATGTTGGGGGGAGTCTCGTCGTTCCTTCCCACAAGTGAGCAAACCCGGGCGGGGACATGTTTTACCCTATCAAACCCCATCTGTGAACACGATGTGGCGCCAAACAGTAACCATAATAGTGAATGTTGTCTGTGTTCGCACAGCGGCAGAAAGTGTTGCCAAAAGCGGTTCTTTGTTCATCTACGACGCGAACAACCAGGAGCGAGGTTACCGCCCATTTAATTAGACAACCATCACGAACAGCCTCTACCAGTCATGGCCTGTCGTAACTGTGCAGCAGCGTTCCTGGCTCTTGTTGGGATAGCACAGGGTACGGCGCGACTACGCACCGCTGAAACCCAACCATAAAACATGATTAGCCATAAAAGTGAGACAGACTCTTGGGGTTGCGAGCTGTAACTGTTTCGCCCCCAGTACCTTGCTACCCAGTTATGCATATTGGTCCTGCTCGGTGTGTGTGGTATTCCGAATCGCCACAATACAAGCAAAACTCGAGTACCCCCCCTTACCCCCTACCGTCTTCCTTTCTACCCACCTCGGTTCCAATTTCCCGGCCATGATGTTCCGGTGCATCGCTGCATAGCGCTCGAACGGCTCAGACGGACAGAAGCTGGGCACCAGGGGGGTACCAATCCCGGCCAGTCCTCCTCCTTCTGCAATCTCGAACTCCGCCAGGATACGTTCGGTTTCTGTATTTTGTGTTTCGCTCTGCCGCTCCTCTCCCTTCACAGGTGCGGCCGGTTTTGCCACCGCCACCGCCGCTGCTGTGGCGGTATCCTGGCCAGGCGGAGCTTGTGCCCCCGGTGGCCGCTGATAATGTTGATGTTCCTGTCGTAGCTGTGGTTGTTGTTTTTTCTGCCTTAACCCTCCTCCTGGTCGTTCTAGGGAGTCTCGGTGTTTCTCCTTGGTCTCCACCGCCGCCACCTCCGCCGCGGCTGCTTGCACTGCTCTCGGTGCTCGGGACAACTGCGGCTGCCGCTTCGTCCTGCCATCGCTGTTTTCTATGTCCTTTTCTGTCGTCAGCGCCGCCACTAGCCCCCAAACTTTCTTTTCTTACCCAAGACGACGGTTTCAAGTCCGGGGTCCAGCGTGCGGTACAGCAGGTGCGGTTTTATCGTCACCCAACAAAACAGGAGCGGCGGACACGCGAAAGCGAGGGTGAGGCGGCTGCACTACTAGGGTGGCGGGGGGTTACGGTGTGCGTCCTGCCACACTGCACTGTCCCTACAAGATTCCGGCTCTTTCAGCAGTCCGTCCCCAGGGTATGCGTGTACAGCAGTGCAGGCTATCATACATGAGAATCGAGACAAGAGAAAGTCGGATATAAGAGAATGATATCGGTTTGCCATGCCTTCTCTCATTTCGTAGCGGGCATAGCTGTATCGCGTATTCCAGGTGTTGATTGGCGAGTCTATCGCTCCTACTTATGAACCGCCCTGGTCCCACTTATCCCCCATATGGGCGTTCGTTTGGTTGCAATAATTCCCACTCACCAAAGACTTCAACAAATCCCCTTCGATTGTTGTGGTCGTATCTCGAATGGTAGTCTTTGAATGACGCATATTTTCTAGAACAGCTGTTTCCAAAACCAATATGAGAGCAGTGTAACACTGGTATCTAATACTAGTAGTTTTGTTCAGGACAGCCCATAGGGGTGCTTTTTGTTGCAAAAAACAAGCTGCGTATGTACATGTATGCGCGCGCGCAAAGAGGAGATTACACGCGGGGTGTGTGAAAAAGCGGACCATGCACGTCTGTCTGTTTGTCTGCCTGTCCGTGATGAAAAAAGACCCAGCAGACTGGAGCCCATTTCACCATCTAGGCACTAAATTGCAATCTAAGACTTGTGCGAGACCTGACATACAGACATACATCGATCAAACCGAAGACCAACCGCCAGCCACAAAGAGAGAGAATGAGAGAGAGAGAATGAGAGAGAGAATGAGAGAGAGAGAGAGAGAGAGAGAGCGAGAGAGAGAGAGAGAGAGAGAGAGAGAGAGAGAGATGACTGACACGACTTGCAAAATGGTTCTATTGGGCAAAGAGAAGCGGATGGCATTGAGCATAGCAGGGAACTGGGCCCGGAAGCGCAAAGAACGACGGTTCGTCCAGTGTTTGCCTCGGGCCATGCTCCCCCCGGATGTAGTGAGTGAGTAAACGTTTCAACAAACTGCTGGACATGGTGTTAAAAACAAAACAAAACATAATGGGCAGGGTTGGACACTGTCATTTAGCCACGGCCGCACCGCCGCGGCCAGCCAGATGACGTGCGTGCGTGTGCTCTACAGTTGGCCGTGCATGGTGGTGGGAGCAGCATGATTGCAAGTACACTGAACACTTGTTTCATCATTTGTGAACGATCTCGCTTGCTCTTCCTTGCTGTGTGTATCGTTCGTGGTTTATTTTCTTTGAAGCGCAATCTGGAGGGTGTCTCGTCCTGAATTTAACCGTCGATGTGGTCGACACGCTCGCGGGCAGTCATGGTGGGAACACGTTTGTTCCTCGTTCCTTTTCTCTACCTTTCCCCCTCACACGCCAGGCCACTTTTGTCGAGTGGTTTAGGTACTGCCGCGAGCACAAGGGGGCTCTAGACGACGAAAGTGGCCTGGCGTGTGAGGGGGAAGGTAGAGAAAAGGAACGAGGAACAAACGTGTTCCCACCATGACTGCCCGCGAGCGTGTTGACATCGACGGGTTAATACCGGACGAGATCGAAAAGCGGGGTCGGAAACGTTGAGAGTCTACCAAGCGGAAGAGGAGTTTGACATCGTAGCATGGTGCGATTTGTGGGAGGGTTTAGACGAACGGGAGGAGTTGGAACAACCCGCACCGCACCGTGGAACCGCCCCCTCGAACGCCGGCTACCGAACTTGAACCTAGATGATTCGGACGCTGGCTGTTCGGACCTCGGCTGGCAACAATTAATTCGGACGCCGGCTACCGACTTCGGACCTACCACTACTGTAGATGATTCGGATTGATTTGCGAGCGCATTCGCCCAGGATCGGTGTGCGGGCCATACCGCCTGTGCCTGTCAACGGATGTTGTCGTATCTAATGTACGCCTGGATGACAGAAGGGAGCATTACAGGAGTTGGGAGAGAAGTGGGTGCAGCGTGAGAGAGGAGGTAGTTCGGGTGTAAGGCTTGTTCGGTATATCGCGTTCGAAGAAATGTCGCGGTGCCAGCAGGCAAGTGCGAAATATTGTTCGTGTGTTTTCTCTCCGGTTCCAACAGGAACGTGCCTGTCCATGAACTTCGACGTACCGAACAAGCACGGTTGTCCACAATTCGATGCCGCCATAATTTCCTGCTGCCGCAGGGTCATGTCCACTTTGCTGTGCAACATAAACCAGCCAGTGAAGTTGGTACTGTTGTAGACGGAGACTCATCTCCAGGCTCAGTAGGCGGGCACACGCTCGGAAAAAAGAGCCAAAACATATTCAACCTTCGACACATACCAGTTCGTAACACAAATTCAAGCTGTAACAAGTAAACGACATGCAGTGACATGCCTCACACGTCCATGGCGACGTCCATGATGCTTTAATGTTGGGTAGGTCGCACACACACATGCCTTCGCCCTCGCCCTGGCAACCTTACTCGTCTGGGGTTCGAAGTCCGCTCTTTGCGTGGCACGTCCTGTCTACCCGTGTCTGGTCTACTACTACTACTACGGGAGTACATGTTTTTGGCTATGGTGTGCACCCATGGGGTTCAGCCGTCGTTCGGCCGTCGTCATGCAGACTGCATGAAGAAGGCTTGCTGCTGCGGTGGTCGCGTGCTGTCTCGCGTTGGGAACCACAACGTCGTGCTCCATCATGGCTGATGAAAGTAGGTGTGTCGTCGAATGCAAACGCAATCCAATGTGCATCCCCACGCATGCGTGCCGTTGCGTTGACAGCGTTGCTGCGTGTCTCGTGCATGATGCGTCCTTCCCGCCCCGCTCCTCCTCCAGAGTGAGAACACGATCTACCAGAGCAACACGCCGATACTTGCAATGTAGTACGACTTCTGGGCACCACACCTTCACCTTCGTCCTGTGCAGAATGCAACCCTTAGAGTGAAACCAGCACATTAACACACACGCTGGTTGCTTTGCCTGTATTTCCTCTGCAGACGATCCAACGTGGGCGTCCCACTGAACTGAGGCGGTTTGCGTAATATACCCCACCCCCTGGGCCGATCTGTAAAGCTTAACTACGCCGCAGGTAAAGCTGTGACGGTGCCGAAATGGTGACAATGTTACAGGGGGGCGAGGAGGTGGGGGAAGGCAGGGTGGAGGACGAGGTAGGCGTGGTGGACGCGCATCTGGTGGAGGAGCAGGTGGAGGACGGGGTAACGGGGGGCAGGGACGAGGGCGGCGTGGGCCGGAGAAGCCAGACCTTTCTACCCCTTCGCCGGTGCTGCTGTGGGAGGAATACGCGGTTTGGCGAATGCAGAAAGCCTCAAGAATATCCTGGTTGTACGTATCCTTCTTCCTCGACGGTTTTGGGCAAGATCGATTCGTAAATCTTCCAAAAGTCCGCCTGGTGGGATGCCGCGGTCGCGACCTTCACTGCTGTCATCCTCACGGACGCAGGTCAACAGGCACAACGCAATGGTACCGACATGCGAACCTACGGCCAGCGTGCAAGTGGAAAATTGGGGTTTGGGAGCAACTACGTTCGCGTATCCACCCAGGACCAACTGCTGGAGGGTCAGCCGGTAGGTCATTCCCTAGGCGAAATGGTCACCCACTGGCGGAATGCGATTGAGGCGGCCAAGCAACAGCACCAAAGAGAAACCGCCCCCCAAGGAGGCCCAGCAGTCGTACCCAAATTCATGGCCTGAGTAATTCTAGTCGTGCTGGATGGTGCACCGTACGTAGTTGAGTCTTCATGCTCTCGCGAGGTTTGGCTACGCGTGCACCTTGTGTTGGGGGGCGGGCCGAGATTTGGTCTGACAAGGAAGCGACGTCGTCTACTGCGTGTACTTCCTGTTGAGAGGCCGACGGAATTGGTTTGAAGAACTTGATGACGGTCTCCTGGGTTCGCCTGAACGAGTCAACGGCATCAACGGCATTCCACTACCATCAACCAGGCGGACGAGCCTACTTCAGGGGCTTAAAAACAATAACTATTCCACTTCCCAATCTAGTATAAGCAAATTACGTCGACAACAACAAAACAGTGACACCACTACCAAACAACAACGATAGCAACAACAAAACAACAGCAGCAACCACAACAACAACAACAATAACGACAGTATGCACTGTTTCCCCGGGCACAGAGCACACCTTCTTCGTGATTGCGGAAAATAATGGTGTGCGTTCAGGAAAAACACGGGCAACCGTGTTCGTGATGATTTGTTTTTTTGCGGGACGCGGTGTGGGCGGGCCATCTTTAACGTTTTCCGAGGATGGCACTTTGCTCGCTGGTACTGTTCTACCTTCCAGGATTCGAAATGATCCAACTGGCGCGGACCCCCATCTTCGGTACAGCAGTACTTTCGGAGGTACTTTCAACGATTATCCGAGGACAACCCTGCTAGTACCGAGTTTGTTACAGTTTATAGGTCCAGAAAAAATCGCGTCCGCTCATTGGGAGAGGCTGTACAATCCCGAGGGCCGAAAGCAAACTTGACCTCAGTATGGAAAGTGTCACTGGGGACAATTTCTATACTCAAGCCAAGTCAGCACATTTTCCAGCACAAGACTATGCACAATTTTACCAACAAGGGGGCCCGCGGCTTGGGAGATTGTGTTAGCAAGTCAGAGGCCCACGAGGGGCACACAGGCATCACACAGCACAGCGTAGTAACGGAATGCTATTTAGACCAAGTTTCCCACGCAGGTTTCACGCAGCGGAGCATAGTGACGACCACCGTGCGGAAAACAGGCATTTGAGTGCTGTGTTCCCAAAGTGTCCCCATTTGGCCCATTTGGGCTTCTAATACTAGGAGGATTGAACTCGTGAAGACCAAAAAATGAGAAAAGCTATGTCAGCAAGCTGCGGGGTAGACTATTTGCACAAGAAAATATTCGGAAAATGCGCTAGAGTAGATCCTGTTAATCAAATCTCTCACCAAGGGTGTACACATAAACTCCCAGGCTCAGAGCGAGAGGGAATATGCCTTCTCTTCTCTTGGAACTTGGCCTCCATCATGATCTTCATGATAGCCTTCATCGGCAGCAGGTGCAGGATGCTACTCTTTTGGCGGGCAACGTGTACCACACGGTGCACCCGTGTAAAAATAAGAATGTATTCGCCTGCTTATGTTTCTTAGCTCCAACTGGCATTACTGATAGCTCAGTGTTAGGCTTACACAAACTCAAAATAAGCCAAGTCTCCAGTTGGTTTCAATCCACTTACCGAAAAGACTTCACCACATCCCTTTCTACTGAGGTTTTATCTTGAACGGGTGGTCTTTCTGCGAGGTTATGTTTACTTTCTAAAAAAGCGCGGCCGCTTACAGCTTTCAGCAGAAGGCTTGGAGTAGCAGTACAACAAACCTGGGCTTCGAGGAGGATTATCCATACCAGCAGTAGCCATGGAAGATGCATGCCGCCAAGGACGCACCTGTGGGCGCTATCCTCTGTCTATCGCTCACGTTTTCCGGTCCAACGTTTGCCCGTGTGCACACCCTCTGGCACACAGTCTGCAGGTCCGCCGACGCCCTATGGGGCATGACCTATAAAAAAAAGGTTTTAGTTCCTGACATTCTGTTCGGAGATACTGGTGTTTTAGTTCCTGGTTGGCGTTTTTCGGGGGTTTCAAGACTGTACATTTTTTTGTTCTTTCGTTCCGTCAACTCTCTCCGTTGTTGTTGTTCATCAAGGTCTGCCCTCCTTACATGTAAGTCCACACTAGCGGGATGCGAGGATTGGCTCTATTGAGTGACATTGCGCCACCAAACAAGCAATTAATTCCCAGCTTGCCCTAAGAAGAAGGAGCAGGCAAAAAAGAGCAAGATGCCTGCTCGATCTCCTCACCGACCACCGTCGTCATCGCCAGCAGCTTGTTCTGGCCGCATCTCTGCCAGGCCGCGCCTTGTCGGCGTAAGCACGGCGAAGGATTTGGAGATGATGGGAGTTCTCCCTGGCTTGGCCGTTCCTTCCGAACACGGAGAGTATGCCACAAGCCTTCCCGACGCTGCTGGGGGAGCTTCGGTGATATCCATGATGAGGCACGTAAGGTATCCACCTCGCAAAGTTCCACCACGACAAAACTCTTGCACCTTAGACTAGACTACATAGAGAAGTTCTCCGCTGTTCGCGGCACAACCGTTCATTAGACACAGATGTAAACATGCGCACAGCCCGGTGGCAAACAATAAGTATGGTACGAAGCACAATTGCAACTGTTGTAGATACTGCGGACAAGAACCCCACATTGCAGACGCTTGGTGAGCTCGGAAGGAAGGTTGAACTACTGCATAGACTAGTCTACAGGATCAATGCTGTATTCGAGACTAATGTTCCCACAGTGTAAGCTTCCTTACACACTGAAACCATCTCTCCCACACGTGGGTTGGCACTGCCGTGCCCGAGTCATTTCCAACACTATAAAGTCTAGAAGTTTAAGTTTAGGATCCCATTTCTCCATCGAAAGGGCGATCTCTAGGTCAGGCGTAAATTAGGACCTAAATTCGATAGACTACATCTGAAATATGTACACTGTAGCCTCTCTCACAAAATCCACGTACGTGTGCGCCCTCGCTTGTGCTTTTCTCAAAATTTATGAACGAAACGAAGCAGCCGCCATATACCTCGTCGTGGCTTGGGATCAGCCAAGACAGCTTCCGCTGGAAGAGGCGACAACGGCAATTACAGCCACCTGGGCGGCAGGTGCCGCGACGTTTCATACATCAGAGACAAGCCCGGTCACGGCAAGCAGGTGCCTCTTTCGGTAGAAGCATATGTGTCACCTCCCTTCCTTTTGCCGCGTGTTGAAGTGACCGCTCATCTTCCTTTTCCGTTACCTTGTTCTGTTAACCTCTGAACACCCCGCTTCCCCCTTCTCTTGGTTTGTGGTTCCCTGTATCTGCGGGAAAAAGATGGAACGCAGCTCTTTTCTTCGCTTCGAAAAGTAGGCTGGATGAAGCGTGCTGGTGTAGCTTTCAGCCCGTTGATGATGCGTTCACACCCTGATCGTTCATATCCAAGTATATATCTTCCATCTCCATCTTTGTTGCGTGAATATCAACGAGCGAGGGGGTGAACGAAGGACGTCTGTAGTGGTTTCTTTTCGAGCTACACAGATGTGCAAAACAATCTCCGCCGTGCCACTCACCAGCCCGACGACTCTGGGTTCTTGTGTTCGCATATACATATACTTGTTGCCTGCGATCGTGGAACAAGATTGATTGCCGTCAATAATACCAACAGGTGAAGCAAGGAGAGTGGAGTGACGTCATCGTGCCTGCCTCCAAAATTCCCCGGAAGGAAACCGTGGTCGAGACCTCGGTGCTCAGGAAGAACGACTCTTCCTACGAAGAGTGGTGGGTGTTGCATCCGAGTAGGATCGGAGTAGGATCGGTTGGATTGGGTTAGATTGGTAGGCGCACGAGGAGATGGGTGAAGTCGGACTGGCCTCCATGTTGTTAGCCATGCGTGTGCCATCACAAGTAGTCCTCTCTTGCCCAAGTAGTACGGCCAGCACGAATCGTATACCATTGGCCACAGGCTTACCAAACACACACCAAGGAAATACCTTTCAGGGCGGACGCACAAAACGTGTTTCCTCACTGCAAAACGAACTCAAGCCCGTAACATGGCCCTGAAAAATACCGAAGCAAGAAGAACAAGGAGCGCACAAGCACGGAAATCACTCGGCAGGTTGCTGTAGGAATGTCCAAAAACTGGGTTTCGCAAACTTTTCGGAGTTTGATTTGTTTTGCCAATCAGCCGTCTATTTTTCGTCAAGACTTCGGAATCTCGCGGTCATTTGCTGTTGCAATGTGCAGGCGTGTAAAACCCGAAAACGCGCCGACGTTGTAGGTACGAGCCTGCTGAGCGGCTGTGGCACCGAATCGTGTTCCCTGCAAAGCGTCCAAGTAATCGCGAGCAGGTGCGAGCTGTTCCTTGTACCAACTACATGAGAAAGGTGACGTTTTTTTTTGTCAAAGAGGAGCTAAATTCAACGGATTACAGTCGTGGGCCCGGTTTAGCGGTCCATAGTGTCACGAAATTAATAACCGCTATCCAGGGCACCGCCGCTAAACCTCTTCAGCGGTTATGAACCGCTAAACCGGGAGGCTCAATAGCGGTGATGAACCGCTGAACCGGGAAAAAAAACGATTTTGCCCAACAAGAGCAGCGTCGAAAGTTCATCTTGATAGGGCCTGCATGTGCCTCGTTGCGGTAGTCGTACGATGGTGCAGATGAAGAAGTATGGACCTTAAGGATGACAACACAGCAAGCGCATAAGTGCATTTCAGTTCACGAAAGCGCAAAGCTTGTTTTCCCTGATGGACTGTATGCCCTTCATTAAGACTGGAAAATCGTTCCCGCCTCTAACGAATGTGGGGCAAGGTTCGTGACGACGCAATGGCAACCAACCACGTGCTTGCGCAACTCATTTGTACTATTTGTCGTGTGTATCGATCATGCTTAACCCAACATCTCGTTGATATTCGCTGCGAGGAACCCCATTTTTGCCTTGCGAAGATAGTGTGCTGCTTCGCCCACGCCACACAACTCCGCGCACTCTTAAGCCGCACAATCCGCCGAAAGCTCCGAGTATGGCGGCTGCGCCATCACCCGCTCTTTGCACAGTCAATTGTTGCGGTGCAATCTAGCTCTAGCTCTAGCTCTAGCTCGTCGTCGGAGGGGTTAGGCCCCTCCATGTACGTACTGGAGAACTTCTCAACGAGCTTGTTATCCTGCAAAGCTCAAGCTTTGATCTCTTCCTGCTCGTTATTTCTGATTGCGCTACCTTCTGGTCAAGAATATTCAAAACCTCAAGCTTCTGGCCAAGGTTGGGCCGCGTGCGGGGCTGTCGTGTAGCTGCAGCGTGAGTTGTTGTTTTCCGCGCCTGGTGCGAGAAAGTCATTTTCGGCCTCTTTGCGCTTGGTTGGGTGGATCTGAGACGCGAGGGGAACACTGGGCCTTCTTGGTTGCACACTATTGGCAAATGCGGTGCATCTCGTTGCCATAAGAATCCTCCACCTCTCCATACATTCCGCGCATGCGGCCACCAGTCACCTTGGCCACCACAGCCACCCTTACAATCGTGCGCGCCGCTTGGATTCAGTGCCGCATTTGAAAGCTACAGCTCTCCATCCGCGCACCGCATGGTGTGTGTGTGTTGCTGTGTACTTTTACTACGAGCATCAACCACGCTAAGCGGCTGACCAATGTCGCTGTGTCTCTGCAAAATTTGAACCGACAACCGCTATCTGGTGGCTGAAATTTGTCCAGTAACCGCTTTTGAGGGCACGACCGATTTAGCGGTTGTACATCCACTAGACCGTGGTGCAGCCGTGTCACGAGATTAATAACCGCTATTCAGGGCATCCCGCTAAACAGGGAACCGCTAAACCGGGCCCACGACTGTGTTTCTTTGGTTCTCGTGGACGCTTGTTTCAACCCTCGCTGCTCCCCTCCTATTCAAGTTGGGGAGATCGTGGATGGCGAACGTCATTGTCTTACATTCATGGCCTACGACGACGACGACGACGACGAAGACTACGGCGACGACAACAGCACCAATGACAACACTAGCAGAGACCACAAACAACAGTGCTAGAATCATTTTCATTTCAGTTGAGCAAGCGCACCAAGTCTGACTAGCTTCATCTCATATTCTTATCTCCAAGTAGATTGGTTCACTCTACTATTCGCGAGACCTTTCATCCATTCCGAAATGGACTACTGTAACGACCATCCAGGTTCTTCTCTTCCCCCGCCCTACTTCGATCTCCCATTTATAGATAAAATGATTTTCTGGCTTCCACCCACTGGCCACGTACATATTGTAGCTTCATCCCCCATTCGTATGCCAAGAATATTTGTACACGTTCTCTGTCAAGGTTGGGGGCATCCCTAATCAAGCACTGAACATTCCTGCTATTCCCAAGTACTTTTATCCCCACTACTCTACTGTATTCAGTAGGTACTAGGGGTGTGCGGCTCTTCGATGCATACAGAGGTACGGATTGTGCATTCCGCGCCATACCCGCACTCCGCCTGTGGCGTCTACCATTCGTACCTAGCCCGCAATACAGTCACCATTACCACCCCATTGATCACCGCAGTACGTTCTGCCTTGGAACTATCCAAGTACATGGTTGTTGTTCGGCGTGTTCGTGGACATACCACTCACAGGAGATGGCTGTGTACCAGTCGCTCTATCTATGAAAAGCCGTTGTTGCAGAAAGCATCACCATGACAAATGAGGTGGTAATGGTGACGCTGTTGCGGGCTTGGTCCGAGTGGTAGATGCCACAAGCGGAGTGCAGGTAGGGAACGGGAGAGCCAATCCTCCACAACCCCTAGCTTTGTACGCATCGAACAGCCACGCACACGGCGGCCTGCAGCACCTACTGAATACGGTAGAGTTA